ATAATTTTACCATCCCTCCAATTCGGTTTAATTAGCTTCATGAACTTCATTTCCAAGTGTCAAGATCATTTCTATTATTAATTTTATCTATGTATTCTTGTAACGAAACACGAAAATCTAACCTCTCCGAACATTTCGTTAACGTCAATCTTTTCGAGCTTCGAAGCTTCATGAACTTCATTTTCAAGATCATTTTCATTATTATAACTTTATCTATGTGTTCTTGAAACGAAAATCCAACATTTCATTCATTCAACACCAATCTTCTCGATCGACAGCCGACAATTTCTATTGCCGATTTCTACCAATCTCACTTCTTTCCAATCGCGTCACTCTGGCTGGAACGAAGTTTGGTCATTTTTTCCCTGCCGGACGCTCTGGTGTCGTGGCTTATCCGTTGACCGTATCACCATGGCTGCCTCTATCCGAGCGACAGGTCGGCAGTCTCCCTCGACGTTGGTTTGTCACGCTTGTCCGATTATCGACGGATTAACCGGCGGCTCGCGCGGTGGTTGATGGTGGTGCAAGCGATGCGGTCGGTCACCTACACTCGACGTGACCCGTCACAGCATAAAAGACCGGGGGCCGTCGAGCAACGGTAATTATAAAATCGCGATAATCAACCGAACGATCGCTACTTCAATTACACGTTTGGTCGTTTAGCCGTGGCCGCCGTTTGCAAGCACGTCCGGTTCTTCCCGCTTTATCACGGAACATGGAACGTCGAAACTCGTTGGTATCGGTACGAAATACAGTGGATGGAGAAAGAGTCGTTGAAAATTTCATTTGGCAATCGGTACGCTGATTAAATCACGCGATCGACTTTTCATCGGGTCCCGCCGAGCTATTTTCCGCCGCGCTTCCTGCTCCTCTGGCTTCTTGCGCCGTAGAGGAAAAACGTCTCAGGACCGTGTTACGCGGACGGATCGGCAGCCGTTTTCCTGCCGGCCAGGCCAGAAATCGAGTTACGCCGCCCGAATTGATGTCTGCCTTATGAACGGCAGTATCGATATCAATAATAGGATAATCGAATTCCTCCGCTCTCTGTCGAGCTCTCTGCTCGCGTCCTTAAACGAAATCCTCCTCCGACCGTCGTCGTCGGTTTAAACGCTGCCGAGGAGAGATTCGCTGCCCGAATTGATTAGCCGCCGATCAGTAGCGAAATTGATCAACGATGCACGGAAGGAAGATAATCCGCAGTTTGTTCGCGGGAACGCTAACGCGATAATCCGAAGAAGTATCGATCGTTCGCCCAGCGCACAGAGCCCAGTTAAAATATCATCCAGCCAATATACGTACAGCGGCGTGCACGCTTCGATAAAACGAAGCACGGTCCCCGACGCGGCGCTTCTAATTACGAGCTGAACAGAAAAGTTCCCGTGTAAAATTAAGTTGCCGGTTTAAGGTCGCATTTCTGTAAGCGACTATAATACGTCGGACGCATTTATGCCGGGGATTGCTGTTTTGAACGTGCAGTAGTTTAAAACAGCACGCGGCGCTTGAAACGCGTATTGAGGAAATATGTTCTTTTTTCTTTTCTTGTAACACGTGTCTTTAGTATTGCATGTCTTTTTTATATACAAAAATGTTTTTGGAGATATGTTGGAAAAAAGCGAAAAGTCTTTCGTGCTTGTATAAATTTGGTAAAATTAGAGGTGAGATATACCTATTAATACATGAGTTCAATGAGGCTTCTTTATAGAGAATATCGATTAATAAATCAAAATATATCATTCAAAAAGAGCGGAGAAATCTCTGAAAATTCTCCATCTGTAAAGATATCATTCCGCATGGAATGAATTTCTTTCACCAAATCTCTGAAAACAACAGAGATACTTAAGGTGTAATAAAGTTAGATACCCCGTATAGTATTTACATTTTTTAATTCAGATAATATTACCATTTTAGTGTGATACTGAATGAAACATACTTGTTCATCGTACCGGTATAAATACGTCTGATCCTTATAGAAAATATCAAATATTTCTGGCAGTTATTGAGAGGAAAGTGTTAGAACATTTTTAGTTTTAACATTCGCAAGTGACGAAACAAAATCTTTAGGTTGCACATGTATTAACACTTTGGAAATTCTTTCAGAGTATTTAACATTTCCAATTTTGAAACAAGCTAGAACAAATCAAAAACTTGTTTCAGCGGAGGTGTATATGAACACGTGTCACGCCGTGTTACTAGTTATAGTTACACACAGCAGCGTATCAAAAGTTACTCGAGTCTGTCTTCATTTACTTCATTATGTATATATACACATGACTGTAAAGACCTGTCATATCAGAGAAATCTTTTTTTATTATATTTTTTAAAATAATCTTTATATAAACGAATGGAGAAACATGTTTCTGGAATATCTGACATTTCTCTTGGTACCAAAGTCGTATAGCAACCGGTCTCGAATCGAGAACAATCGCACTGAGTGAAAGAAAGGTTCACGAGTTACCTTGGTGAAAGTGAGGGTGGCGATCGGTGGCAGACGAGGTAGATTCGGATAATAAAAGCTTCCCGCTGGGTGTGCCGGGTATCGTGACGTGATCCTATAGGCGATTCCTTGGGGCTGCGTCGGCCAGTTGGCAGCCGTGAATGTGAAACCGTTATCGGTCCCGCCGTCCAGCGGATCCAGCTGAGAAGAAAAGAGAGGCGAATACAGACGGTGAAGTGAGTTCGGAGGTCTTTCAGTAGGCCTCCGTTGGATTTTTAATGAGATGGCACGGCCGAAAATGGAACGCGACCTATATATTTCTCTTTTGCCGATCGCCTACCGGATCTTTTTTTTTTTCCTCCCCTCTCTTTGCCAACCGAACTTTTGCCTACTCGGCCGCTTTAATGAACGAAACATACGGCTAATACGGCACCGATCCGGTATCCGAATGGTAAAACGAGTTTTCTTTTTCTCCCCATTTTCTTTCTTCTATAAAAGCTAGGCCAGCTTTTGTCGAACCGGACCAGCGCGCTGCGATGAATGCGAGATTCTCCACCGGTACGTCGATCTAATTTTCCATATATACGCGCGCGGCCTAATTCGTTATTAAAGCGCGCTTTCCGATTGAAATTGGTTGCTGCGGAGAAAGCCAATCGAGCACAGCATATATATTTCTGGGGCGGGCGCGAGCTCTGTGTGTATCGAAATCAATGATCTCTCGTCGACGATAATTACCTCGACGGTCACTGTGTCGACCCAGTTCCCCTCGACGCACAGTTGGAAGGAGTCCACCCCCACGAACCAGTCCGGACTGGGATTGATGCGTGCCATGATGCTTATCAGAGTGTGATTCCCATCGAGAAACGCTCTCGCGATACTGGTCCCTTCTCCTTGCGGCACCGGAGGCCCGGTGAACGAGTGAAGGCTGTTCGGCGAGTCTCCGTCCGCGTCCATTCCATCCGTTCTTCCGGTTTCCACGTACAGCCTCACCCCGCTCGACAGCCTCTCCCCTAATCTGTACAGCGTGTACGTGGAGTCGTGCGTTCGACCTGCGAACAGAGAGAGAGAGAGAGAGTGCCAAAGAGTTTAATGTTTGATGCTCATTATCGTCGTTCGAAGTCTCTCTGCAACGCGAGAGTTCAAACGTAATCGCTCGTTTCCGGTTATCGCGTGCTTGCTCGAATCGGTTGCCGATCGTACAGCTATAAAAGGCTTTCTTTGATCAGCGTTGAGTTAATTAACGCACAGAGAACGGTAATTAAACGAGCTGTCGTCGTTTAATGCGGGAAACATCGACGGCTATTTTTCTTCTTTCTCTTTTTCCTTTCTTTAGGGCGAGGTATTTATAAAATACAGTGGCCGACGCGTGAATCAGACTGAACGGTTATAGAGATCGTTAACAGCCATCACGACTGCCGAGATGGTCAAATATACGCGAGACAGCGAATTTATGGCCAATGAACGCGATCCTCGACTACCGCCATGCTCGTCTCCGACGTATTCAGAAATTCTGCTGTTGGCTTTGCACGCAGCCGGTGTAGCCATCCATAGGCAAAAAGTGAAATATTAGAAAAAAATGTTAGAAAATAATATATAAAAGTGAGATATTAAAATTAGTTTCAACCTTCTCAATTTTAAGTTCTTGTAATAGCGGTAATTAGATTCTAATAATTTTTAAAGCCTGAAGTCTAGAACTCTGAAGATTTAATATTAAACGAGGGGGGACAAAAAAATTAAAAAACGCCATTCACCTTTGAACGTGCACTTTTTGATATATTTATTCGTTCATTCAGTTATTATATGTTATCTGAACGTGTGATGAATAAACCAGTTGTGCTCTAATACGAACTAAACATTTAAAGGGTTTTTAAACACAAAGTTCAAGGAATTAGATTAGTTACGTGAGCATTAGTTAAGTGAGCAAATAATATGCTAATTTACAACATAATTCATTTTTTATATTTATGATGTATTTACATTTCGATATAAAATATTTTTTGTGGCTAGTGTACGTCCAATTCTATAAATAAATCTTCACAGTATGTAAAATAATATTTGAGTAGAAATTAAATTTCACTCACTTTTTTTCGAAGGAAGAAACAAAAAAAAAAAATTAAGAGTGATGATAAATATAAAGTATAATATTCAAATGTTGCTCACAAATCATGGTACTCGTAGGCATTTTCTTCATTCTTCATACCGATGTGAATTTTGTGTATTCTAGTTTATGTTCGATAAGATAATTTTATTAAATTAATTACATGAAATATCTCGTTCATAATAATTTTACTTTTTCATCTTATCCGTCCATCGTGTACTTATGTAATCTTGTAGGCTGCTTATGTTTATTTTATTAAAGTACTATGTAATTCAGACATCATTTTACTCATCGAATAAACACTTACTTATTCAAGGGATCTGTACAACTAATTTGTTCAATTAAATACTATCAGAATACGTGAAAGAATTTGCCTATAAACTTCGTTTAAAATTAAGAATATGCACGTATTACATATCACAGATTCCACAAAAATGTGCCACCATATGCTTTCGAGCAGCATATACGTATTATTTGCTTATTGTAGGAATCGGGAACCACGTTGTTGTGTCTCTCTTTTAGAAAAATAACGAAAGTTGTGGAAAGTTTCGTTCAGAAAGCGAGGACGTTTCGCCGCGCTTTCGTATTTCCGTTTTCACGTTCGAAAAAAAGAGAAAAGAAAAAGAAGGAAATAACGAGACGGGAAAGCGGGGATTTTTGTTTTTCACGTGGCCTCTCGTCGCCGCGAGTTCCCTCTCATTGATCGACGCCGATAAAAATTCCCCGGCGCGAGTTCGTGCTCGACACGTGGCACGAAATAAGATAAGAACATATCGTAAAGCATAATAAAATATAAAAGCCGTGCTCGGCACGCCGGGCACGTAGCTTCTTTGCGGAACTCGTGCGCGAAAACAGGAAGGCGTTTCTCATCTCGGGTCGAGCCGAGAGGCGTTCGCTATAAGTTCTCGTTTTATCAAGGATTCGACAACACAGGTAGAAACAGGATTCCTAGAATACGCAGGATGACTCCGACAGGGAACGTTCCTTTTTTTCCTTTTTTCGTTTCTTTTTTTTTTTTTTT